TTTCTCCACAATCTACCTATAATCTGTCTATTGTGTAGTAATAGATAGCACACACATGCACACACACACACACACACTCACTCTTCTGCTTGGTGGAGTTACTCAGGAGCCTGCTCACAGATCTGGGAATTAGACATTGGCCCACCTCGTTTAGAGTCTGATATAAATTAACCTCTACCAAAAGGCAATAGATACTTAGGGCTGGTGCCCACAGGTGCTAGTGGAAAGTTGTCCTCCCAGGAGTCGTGCAACTGTAGCAAATAAAAAGGAGAAGATGAGACACACAGAGCACTTTATTAGTCAAATGCAGCTTTGTGCCTTCTGGCTTCATAAATGAATTTCTCATGGCAGATAGAGAAAATCTGTCACTTAAATAACCAACACAGATAGCACATGCAAAATCATCCATCCAGCTGGTCTGAAATCTGAGGCTTAGAGCCTGCCTGCTTTGGTTTTGATTTCCAAGAGATACAAGTTTAAACTCTTCAAGATTTCATCTGGCTAACATTCCAGCAGAAGGCAGCCTCAAATGACGCTTCCACTACGGTACTTTCCTTTCGATTTTTTTTTGTTAATTTTTATTGAGTTTATGATAGTTTACAATCTTGTGAAATTTCAGTTGTACACTATCATTTGTCAGTCGTGTTGTAGGTGCACCCCTTCACCCTTTGTGCCCACCACCCACCACCCCTCCTTTCCCTTGGTAGCCGCTAATCGGTTCTCTTTGTCTACATGTTTAAATTCCTCATATGAGTGGAATCATACAGAGATTGTCCTTCTCTATCTGGCTTATTTCACTTAACATAATTCCCTCAAGGTCCATCCATGTCATTGTGAATAGGACAATTTTATTCTTTTTTATGGCTGCATAGTATTCCATTGTATATATATATATATATATATATATATATATATATATATATATACCATATCTTCTTTATTCAGTCATCAGTTGATGGGAACTTAGGTTGCTCCCACATCTTGGCTGTTGTAAATAATGCTGCAATGAACATAGGGTTGCATGGGACTTTTGGAATTGCTGACTTCAAGCTCTTTGGATAGATACCCAGTAGGGGGATGGCTGGGTCATATGGTATTTCTATTTTTAATTTTTTAAGAAACCTCCATACTGTTTTTCACAGTGGCTGCACCAGTTTGCATTCCCACCAGCAGTGTATGAGGGATCCTCTTTCTTCACAACCCCTCCAACATTTGTTACTTTTTGTTTTGGTTATTTTTGCCATTCTAATGGGTGTAAGGTGATATCTTAGTGTAGTTTTGATTTGCATTTCCCTGATGATCAGTGATGATGAACATCTTTTCATGTGCCTATTGGCCATCTGTATATCTTCTTTAGAGAAATGTCTGTTCCTGTCTTCTGCCCATTTTTTGATCAGGTTCTTTGATTTTTTGTTGTTGAGTTGTGTGAGTTCTTTATATATTACGGAGGTTAGCCCTTTGTCAGATATATGACTTGCAAATATTTTTTCCCAATTAGTGGGTTGTTTTTTTGTTTCAACCCTCTTTTCCCTTGCCTTGAAGAACCTCTTTAGTCTGATGAAGTCTCATTTGTTTATTCTTTCTATTGTTTCCCTTGTCTGAGAAGACATGGTGTCTGAAAAGATCCTTTTAATACTGATATCAAAGAGTGTGCTGTCTATATTTTCTTTTAGAAGCCTTATGGTTTCATGTCTTACCTTCCTTTTGATTTTTAATTACAGCAGATATCATACACACAAGTGTTTATAGCATGTATGTACAATTTAAAATAAACAGTTGTGTACCCAACATCTAGATAAAGACATGGAATATTACTAGTAACTTAAAAGCTTACTATGTGCCTCTTGCCAAAAACATCTCCCACTCTCCTCACCGAGAGGTAACTACCATCCTCCACTCTGTGTTAATTATTTTCTTCTTTTCTTCACTGTTTTATCACCCACTTATGCATCCCTAAACAATATATCTCTCAGTTTTGCCTCTTTATGGGCTTTAAATAAGTTGAAAGGATACTGAATATATTCTTCTATTTGCTTATTTTGCTCAGCATTGATTCAAGATTCATCTATGTTGATGTAGGTAGCTGCAGTCCCTTCATTTTTCACTACTGTATAGCAATCCATTGTCTGATAGACAACAAAATCTTTATCTCTTCTATTGTTGATGGATATTTTGCCATTTGAGACAATGGTGCTGTGGACATTGTTGTTTCTTGGTGCGTATGTTCAAGTATTTCTCTTGGAGTTGCTGAATCATGGAAATGTGTGTGTTCTTCCTTAGTAGGCAATCCGAACTATTTTCCCATGTGGTTGCTTGGTATTAGTCAATTTAAAAATGTTTGCTAATCTGGTGTGTGTGGAATGGTATTTCATTGTATTTTTAATTTGCTTTTGCCCAATTCCTAATGAGGTTGACATTTTTTCTCTCCCTCTACCATTCTTCTTTCTTGGTTTTTAAGATTTATGAGGCATTTGGGTTTCCTTTTCCTGTTCCTGTATTTGACTCATTTTTCCATTGACTTGACTTTGTAAGACTTCTTCATATAGTGAAAATACTAGCCTTTCATCAGTTATATGTGCTACACATATCTTCTCCCAGTGTGTGGCTTATCTTTTCACCCTTTTTGTGGTTATCTTTGAATGAAATATGAGTTTTAATTTCATTATGGTCAAATTTATTATGTTTTCTTATGCATCTTTATACACTTTATATTTTGTTTAAGAAATCTTTCTCTTACCGAAGGTCAGAAGAATGTTTCCTTATTATCTTAAAAAAGTCTTATAGTTTCTATAAGACTAATTATATGTAATTATATGTAAGACTTTACTTGGAGTAGATTTTGGGGTTGTGAGGGGTAAATAATCAAATTTATTTTTTCCTATAGAAATAGACAATAATAGTCCACCTTTCCTGATCTGCCACGCTTAAACACAAATAGAATTTCCACTATTTTAATGATGTTTCATTGGTCTACTTAGCCATTCTTGCACCAGCATCCTTTTGTCTTAATTAGTATGACTTTATATTGTCTTGATATCTGATTATATAAGACCATTTACTTTGCTATCATTCAAGTGTGCCTTAGCTTTTTTTTTTTTTTTTTGGTTTTTTGTTCTTCCATATACATTTAAAACCAGATTTTCAGGTTTCATGGAAAACCGTGTTGAGAATTTGATTGGTATTTCATTGAAAATATGAATACAATTGGCAAACATTGGAATCTCTATTATATACGGTTTATCTGTCTAATCATTTAACGTCTTTCTGTGAGTTTTATCTATAAAGAAATGTCTTTTGTTAATGGGGCCAGCCTGGTGGCATAGTGGTTATGTTTGTGCACTCTGCTTTGGTGGCCTGGGGTTTGCCAGTTTGGATCCCAGGCGTGGACCTACACACTACTTGTCAAGCCATGCTGTGTCAGGCATCCCACATATAAAGTAGATGAAGATGGGCATGGATGTTAGCTCAGAGTCAGTCTTCCTCAGCAAAAAGAGGAGGATTGGTAGCAGATGTTAGCTCAGGGCTGATCTTCTTCTTCAAAAAAAGAAACATTTTTTGTTAAATTTATCCCTGAATACTCAATATTTTTGTGTTTTGTTGCTATTGGGCATGGTAGCTTTTTAAATTTGCATTTTCTAATTGATTGTTGCTGCTGAATAAAAATGAAATTGATTTTTTATATTGTTTTTTAAAACAATACAGGTATTTTGCCAAATTTTTTAAACATTTCTAATAATTTATAATGTAAAAACATTATGTAAATAGCATAGTATTAAATATTTTTGATGTTTGACTATCTCTTTTTAATGGAGTGTTTAGTTCATTTACATGTTTTGTGATTACTGATATACTTGGATGTATTTCTAAGTCGTCTTGTGCTCTGGAGCTGTATTACCTTTTCTGTTCTCCCTTTCATCTTGGTCTCTTTTCCACTGAAGCTTCCTCTCTGTCCCCCAGCTCCTTTTCACTCCCTCCATACTCAACAACTGTAGAGTTAACCATCTTTACCCTCTTTCAAAATAAGGGCAGATATTCTTAGAATTAACCATTTTGAATGAAATTTCCCGAGTACATGGTGAGCCCTTTCAATATGTCTATATTTTCTCTTATTTCTAGAAAATATTTTTTTCTTCTTAATGGGCTCCAATTATATGTATGTTGGATCTTATTTGCCAGTCTTCTATTTCAATCGCTTCCTCTGTGATCATTTTTACTTCTCTCATTATCTTATTTTTATCCTCCTTTTTGTTTTCCTGCCTTTCTTCATTTGAGAATGCTCTCTTTTGAGCACCTCATAATTTATTTTCCATTTCTGAGTGGATTTTCTCTTTTTCTTCACTTTTTTTCACGAATTAACTCTTGCTCCATTTCTTCCCTTTTTTGTATATTTCTGTTCATAGTTTTCAGATTTTGGATAGTAGTTTTCTTTTTTAAATTACAAATAAATGTTTGAGAACATTTGGTTCCATTTAGAGCATCGTGTCACAATTTTCTTCTGCTTTATAGTGTTTTTGGAAGGATTTTAATCAGATGAAATGTTTTGATTTGCATATTCTGTTTTCTTTCTTTCTTTTTTTGGTGAGAAAGATTGGCCCTGAGCTAACATCTGTTGCCAATCTTCCTCTTTTGTTTTTTTTTTCCCTCCCCAAAACCCCAGCACGTAGTTGTATATCCTAGTTGTAGGTCATTCTATTTCCTCTTTGTAAGATGCTTCCTCAGCATGGCTTGATGAGTAGTGTGCAGGTCCATGTCCAGGATCCAAACCAGTGAACCCCGGGCTGCTGAAGCAGAGCACGCGAACTTAACCACTCAGTCATCGGACTGGCCTCTGTTTTCTTATTACACTGGCTTTGACTAGATTTGTTCTGGTTTCTCTTATTTTCAGGCATTTTATAGACAGTTCCTAATTTATACCATCCTCTTCTGTCAGTATAGTGTAGTGTAGTTTTTCAAAGGACGACGTTGTGATGGTGGTTGGGAAGTGGAGCAGTTGGCATGTCTTGTGATTCTCTTTTATTTATGCAGAACCCTAACTTCCTCCTCTTATTTACTTTTCCTTCACTTCTACATATCAGAAGAGTAATTCCTCCCTCTCAATTTATCTTTTGTTTTCTTCCAGAAGTAATGCTTATTCAAGACTGCCACCTCAAGTTTTGCTGAATTCTCTGTCACTGGTGCTGTCATCCACCAAGTTCCAGATTTGTTTTTACTGTAAGAGGTTAGTGTTGGACTTTCTCTTTGTGCAGTGACTTAGTCTGTTTTATCCATGTCCCATGCAGTGTCTTAAGTCTACCTTCCCACTACTCTCTACACACTGCAGTGGCAGCAGGAAATGTAGTAGCATCTCTTGGATTTTAGTGTTTATTCTCTACTGAAAAGTAATTTGAAGCATTCTCTGTCTCCTGGGACATATGTGCATTATTTGTTCTTTTTGATCGTGTGATTTTGGGGAGGATGTGTGAAGAGATTTAGATTCAGCCAGCTGCCGTTATCCTAGTATCGATCAGAATTTCTGTGAATATCTTCTTGTGAAAAAAGCTCTCACACGTATAATATCAACACGTATAGAAAATTGGGCAAAGTCAAGTTACAAAGGAAAAAATTCCAATGGCTAATAAATATATGTAAAATATTCAATCTCACTAATGAACAAAAGCACAAATAAAAACTATGATTTCCTCACCTTTAGAATGAAAAATATCTATTTTTAAAAATTGTTAATATCTCCTCTTGACAAAGGAGTAGCAAACCTGACAGTCTCATGTACTGCTGATGGTAGTATAAGTTGGCACAACCTTTCTAGAGGACAATTTTTTGCAGAAACAGAAGACATTAAAGTGGTACATATTCTTCTATCTGGCTATTTCTCTTCGAGATATTTTTGTGCAGGAAACACTTATCAATCTACTAATAATATAAATCAGTTATGTAGCAGATAACATTTTTTATTTATAAAAATCTGTTTCCAATCTAAATAGCCATTTACAGAGGCATGTCCAACATTAAAAATTTTGTGAATCTGTGTTTGCTGACATGAAAATAAATTTCTATGATTCTACTGTTAAGTACAAAACAGGATTATGTATTAATTTTATGTTTAAGTAAATGTTTTAAAATTTACTCACAAATACATATACAGAAAAACATCTGGAAGGAAATATACCAAAATTATAACTGTGGTTGTGATCTTGGTATGGTGGATTATGGGTTATTTTTTTTTCTTTCTAAATACTTTTCTGAGTCATTTTCCTGTTAAAAAACATTTGGCATATATTACTTCTGCATCAAAAATTATATTCATTAAAAAATTTTGCTGAATGTCTTGAGACCATCACCAAATTATGCTGATCCAATTGAAGAACAATCTCTGAGGGATGGCTCTCCATGCTCCATTTATCTTTGAAATTATGTTAAATGGATCCTTAAGGCAACTTCCCAACCTAATAAATCCCAGAAGATTTCTTGACACATTTAGGATTTAGGATTAATAGGATGTCTCCCCTTCTTCCCCACTTTTCTTTCTCTTATTATGTGAGCCAGCTTGTTGACTGCAGATATTGCTAGACAGTGGCTGCAAGCACAGCAATGTAATTCATCAACACTAGTACGTCTGGAATGTACCAGAAGTAACACAGTGCTTACTTGATAGTAAATAATAATCTGCCAAATCTACCTCCCCAAAAGAAATATCATCTGCTGTGACTGTATAGGCCAAGAGTTTTCTCTTTCCAGTTTAAAAAATATGAGTCAACTAAACTCAACATTAACAAAAATTGCTTTGTCTTTCAATTAGCACATGGAAAAGTCGAGGGTGCTATTAGATTCTTCATTCTCCTTTGTGGCTTCTTCCCTCTCCCATTGCGGACTAGAAGGAGACCTGCGGTCCAGTGGCCCTAACATGATGTGAGACTTGGGACAAAGCTCTTACTTAAGTTCTCTGGCTATGTTTTTTTAAAATGATACAGTGGATAGGAGGTGGGTGAGTAGATCTTTTAGATTTCCTAGCTACTCTAATGTTCTGTGAGTCAATGAATCTCCTTTATTTATCAATCTAAATCCTGTAATACTGGCAATTATATGTTTGATTTTGATTTCCTTTACTTCATCTGTGTGGGACTTAAGGCTGGTAAGCATAAATTCTTTAAAAATTACTTCTTAATGCACACTCAATTATTAGAGTATTAGAGTACATTAAGGTTTTTAAAAAACGCTTTCAAAATTGTTTTAGTGTCATTTCATATTTGCAAAAGAGTGAAAGTTCCCTTCATCAGGTGGAAGCAAGGACAGAACGTGTGCTAATTTCTTGCCCTGATAATTCCTGCTAAGGTGCAGTGTGTGGGCACAGCCCACTGTCTGTCTAATTTACCACTGTGGGAGAGGGGGCATGAAGCAGAAGGTGGTTTTCATGGTGGACAGCCTCTTTTCTAGAAATACATCCCCATTATCAGGTTGGAAAGGAAATGTTGGACACAGTTTAAAAAAATAATAACTGTCAGCTTACATATTGATTCTTTCTAGTTATTGTTATACACAAGCATTTGTACAAAAGTTTTGTGTTCCGTTTAATTATGCCAGTTCCTTCCCTGCGATCCTCAGAGAAGTCATCTGACCTCTTGAAGTTTTAGTTGTCCATTAAATTTGTGCATTAAACAAAATGATCTCAGATACCTTCTTGCACTAAAATTCTTTATTTATATGTCAAAACCAATGATATTGGTAAGAAGGATTTATACCTTTGTTCTTATTGCATATATTCATTGTAGGAGAATTAGAAAATAGAGATAAGGAGAGAAAGAAAATGCATAATTTTACCACCTAATGATAACCACTGTTAATGTTTTGGGTGTAATCTTTTTTCTATGGATGTTTGTTTCCCAATGGAACTTATAATATACCATACATGTTCTTATACAACCTGCTTCTTATTTAATAACATATCAAAAATAGCTCTGCATATCATTTAATAACTGTGACACTTTACATTTTTTTGTACATATGGATTGCAAGACAACAGACATTTTAAATATTTATTTTATCTACCTCCTGAAAAAAACCTGTGAAACTGAATTCCTTCACTTATATTACTACCTTTTTTATTGAGTTATTATTTATAGACAGTAAAATTCACCCTTTTTAGTGCACAGTTTTGGAAAAAGCATATAGTCATGGAACAATCAGAAAAATCAAGCCATAGAGCAATTCTATCAGCGCCAAAAGTTCTGTCATGCCCCTTTGTCGTCAACTCGCTCTTGACCCCCAGGTCCTGACAACCACTGATCGTTTTTCTGTCCCTGTAGTTTCACCCCTTCCAGAATGTCGCAGAGTCCGCAGTCTTCTGAGGCTGGCTGCTTTCACTCAGCGCAATGCAGTCACCATGTTGCTGTGGGGACCAGTACTGTGTTCCTTTTGCTGCTGAGTCTTGTTCCATCACTGGGACGCACCATGGTTTGCTGACCCATTTGCCAGTCAAATGACATTGGACTTGTTTCCAGTTTTTGATGATGATGAATAAAGCCACCAGAAACATTTGTGTTCATATTTTTGTTTGAACATATATTTTCATTTCTTTTTTCACCCAGGAGAGGGTTGCCCAATCATATAGAATATGTATGAGCAACTGTCTAAGAAACTGCCAAACTGTTTTCCAAAGTGGGTGAACCATTTTTTGTTTATAGCAGCAATGCATGAAAGTTCTAATTGTTCTGCATCTATGTCAGCTCTTAGTATTGTCAGGGTTTTTTTAAAAAGCCAATCTAATAGCTGTGTAGTGGTATCTCATTATGGTTTTAATTTGCATTTACCCAGTGACTAATGATGTTGTATGTCTTTGAATGTGCTTATTTGATATTTGTATATCTTCTTTGGTGAAGTGTTTAAATCTTTAGCCCAATTTTTAAATTGGGTTGTTTGTTTTCTTATTATTGCTTTTTGAGGGTTCTACATATATTTTGCATTCAAGACCTTTACCAGATATGTATTTTGGAAATTTTTTTATCAGTCTGTGGCTTGTTTTTTCATTTTATTTACAAGTCTTTTGACTAGCAAAAGCTTTCAATTTTGATGAAATTCAATTTATCAACTTTTTCTTTTGTGTATCATGTTTTTTGTGTCAGTCTAAGAAATCACAGCCTAACCCAAGGTCATAAGATTTTCTCCAATGTTTTCTTCCAGAGATTTATAGTTTTATTTTTTACATTTAGGTCTAGGGCCCATTTTAGGTTAATTTTTATATATGGTGTGAAGTATCAGTCAAGGTTCATTCTTTTGCATATAGATGTCCAATTGTTCCAGCACCATTTGTTGAAATGACTATCCTTTCTCCACTGAAGTGCCTTTGCAACATTACGTTATGATAAATCACATAAATCAGTAATTTGCATATACTGCCAAATGCCAGTTCATAGGCTCTTATGGCTGGATCTGTTTTATTGTCCCCATGTGTAACTAAGATGACAAACTATGCTTGAAGATGATCAGTGCTTCTTAGAGCAGATTGAATTTTAACATTTTTCTCCAGTGTATCAGCAAACAGCTTCCATTCTATTTTGTGAGCAGACCCACCTAGAAGTCCTGGCCTCCATTAGGAAAAAAAAATAGTACTCTAACTTTGGGTGAATTTACTTTAAAGCTTTTCGTAATTTTAAAACCAAAACTAGAAGAAATTCCCAATTTATAGTTTTTTGAAATTTAGAATGCATTTTTGCATAGAAATAGTGTTTGCAAATGATGGTTCCATACCTAGGCTATCCCACAAATATTTGATTCAGCCATCATGACGAAGAAATACCACACATTTACAAGGAGAAGACCCTGAAAGTAGATGGAGGCTTGTGGAGATTTGGATGGGAACTTATTTAAAAGATTTTAGTGTGTTATGTGTCATTATATCTCAATTTAAAAAATGGTATTTTCTATTTGATCTTATATTTTAATCACATTGCGAGAAATATCAGAATAGCACAAAATGAGGAGCTTCCCAAGCTGTGTTCCCTCACGAAGTCTGCTTCTACAGAGCTTTGGAAGAGACTTCACTAAAAGATTTTAAGTATTACAGACACTTCAGCAGAACCAGTTAGCCTCAAAAGTATGACTTTCTCTGTTTTTGATTCAATAGCATCATTATTTTATGCATTACTCCTGATGGCATCAAAATGAGTGATATTCATTAACCAGATATTGTGTGGCAGGTAGGCATTCGGGCTTTTCTTAAGTTATTTT